GAAAGATAAATAATTTAAATAAGAACACGACAGACACTTTAAATGTGTTTCAAACTATCTATTAGTGACATTTTTGACAGACAAAAAATATAAATTATGCAAAGAGAACTATGTAGGGATGTTATCCCGTTGAAAGCATGAACATATAGCAAAACATGAATCTAAAGCATTGGACTGAGCTGATGTTCAACATTTAAGGTTCTCTGAGGTTAAGTAAAGCTAAGAATCCAATTTCAAATCAATGTGCTTTTGGTCCTTTCAGGCCAGAGACCGGAAGGTGATTGGAGATATGGAAGGAGCCCGGCGCTACGGCTCCAACGCCCGCTGCCTCAACATCTTGGCCACAGTCCTGGTTTCCATCATGGTCCTTATTATGTACATCGCTACATATGTACTGACAAGGGAGACCTCCCAAATATACAAGCGCTTCAATTCCCATTATAGAGATTAAGTTTCAAGAGCATGAGAGTTTTTTTGTGCAGCTGTGGCTTGGTGATACTTTCTCTGCTTTACGCTTATGGCTCCAGATTTAACCTATTTACTCATATCATCAAGCAAAACATTGGACTCCTGCATGTTTCCTTCATGACAATTTGTAGTGAGGTTTGGCATTAAGCCTTCCCTGACCCTGGCATTCCCTGACAAGTCAAGACTTGTCAGGCTTGTCAGGGAGTGTTTGTTAATAAATTCCCTGTCGAGGAGAGTTTCATTTGTCAATAAATATATCACTTTCATAACCCTGAGACGGGCTTCGCAAAACAGTTTGTCATTACACACTTTTTTTCGACTCTTACACAAATGATAGTGTTTTGAAATGTGCACTGTGCTAATCTGTAACCAACAGGGATTTCAAGGTCAAGTACTTCACCCAGGAAAGAAACGGGAACAGGGTGTTGGCTACTATTTCCTTTTTCCGACACTTAGTCTTTAAAGGACATTTTTATTCTCAATCAGGCTTTACCATGTTAAATGAAAAAAACGACATACTATTACTGGCACAAGTAACTTTGTACAGAAAATATGTATTTGCAGGGCTGCAAACTCTCACACAATGACTGTGAGACTCAACTATTTAAAGTAGTTTCCTGTATATTACTTTACAGGGTAAGTAAGCTCAAATGACAATGTACCACTTCAGTTTTCAACTCAGATTGATTTTTCACATAGGTTTGCTGACATTTTTAATGTATTGGTATTCAAGAAGACCCTGACTATTACAATGCACAATTTAAAAGACAGTTTAAATAACATTATAATATTGTCATAAAAAAAGAAATGTCACAGCAGTAGAAGTTGGATTTATTTTTGTCGGATATGACTGCGGCTACACTGGAAGTGCTTTAAAAGAAGGACAAATACATCAAAAACAGCAGCAAAATGTTTTTTACAGTTAACCAGGGCCGTCCCTCACAGGCAGATCACGCAGACTGCGTGGGGCCTCACCTTGCGGAGGGAGCCTCACCTTGCGGAGGGAGCCTCAACTGAGCTGCACCTATGTGCGCATGCGACGCAATTAGTGTGGCGCGGCACGGTTTCGCCGCTGCGAGGCTCCACTAGCACCCCTCCCATCGACGCTCGCGAAACAGAGGGCCTCATCATATAACTTTGCATGGGCCTCAAGTTGGCCAGGGACGGCCCTGCAGGTAACTAATATTTAATCATTAAAATGATATACACAAGTGAACGAACACAAGGAAGCATTCTGAGACTCTGAGATGTACAGTAAAACAGGAGTGAATTATTGTTTTTATTTTAAATCGCAAAATGTCTGACTTTTTTTGCCATCTGTGAGGAAAATAGGGAGGCGTGTGGCGCAGTGGATAGCCTTTTGTCAGTTCGTCTTGTTTGTTTCCCCGAATGGTCGTGCCAAGCCTCAGCTCTGAAAGGATCGCTTTTTCCCTCATGTCAGGTTATTTTGTTTATTTTTTGTTGGCTTAAGTTTTGATTAAGTCCTCTTTTTGTTATGCAATTTCCTCCGTGTGGGCGCCTTTTGTTATTTCCACCACCTACTCTGTTAAGAGGGATTACCTGCACTGTGGAAAATAAATATACCATTTTTATATTCAAGACTTTGTCTCTGGGTCGTGCATTTGGGTTCATCAGTTTGTGTCGAGGTCCTGACAATATATGTAGACGATAGACACATTTTCTTGACCATTTTACTAAGGGACTATGGTCTAATTCAAGCATTTCTGTAGAACGTTTCCTGATGTTGTAATGTTTATTGTTTCTGTCTGAGTATAGCATATTATAATGTAATATCAAAAGTCAGAGCATCCTATTTCTTCATTTAAAAAACTGATTCCAAAGTTAAAGTATTGAATGCAATACAATGTCATAGTAAAACATGCCAATCACAAGTGATTAAATTGAAAAGTCATAGTGTGGTATCCCATAGAAATATTAGTCAAGAAGTTGTAAGAAAATGCCATAAAAATGTCATTGTACAAAAAGTCATTGTATAATGTAATCAAAATAATCATTTTTAAGAGGTCATAGTATAGTATGCCATGAAAATATCATCAAAAAAGTCACACTATAGCATGTAATACAAAGTTCTTAAAGGTCACCTATTGTGCAAAATCCACTTGTTCCTGTCTTTTATACATAAACATGTGTCCCCTCTGTGTAAAGAGACTCTGAAAGTTTCAGGAAAAAAGATTCCACTCAGTTTTTGTCCTGATCCATGTATATAAAAACCTGTCTGAAAATGAGCTGATCAGATTTTGGCCACTTTATGATGTCATAACGTTTTTTTTGGCTTGTGTAACCATTAGCAAATAACAAACCAAGGTAACCCCCCCCCCCCCACCTTATCACCTGAATCTCCTCCTAGAGCACCATTGTGTTCTTTTTAACCAAATCTATCTCAGAGGGGTGTGGAGAGGGGCTCCTTATTTTCATCTAAAGTAACAGACAGAGAATCAGCACTTTGGAAACAGGGCTGAAACAGAGGGGATTATGGGATGCTGCAATGATCTGTTTGGTATTTTTGAGCCAAACACTTCAGAGACATGTTTTGTATATATCTGAGACTTATAATATATTGATGAAAAACAGTATAATAGGGGACCTTTAAGGAAGCCAAGAGTATTATGCTTTACTGTATACAGAGACTTACTAATAGTCCAGCAGCAAGTCCTCAAAAAAGGCTTTAGTTTTCGAGATACCCCTACCCGAGGTAGAACAAATGACAACAATGATTTTTCTTATCTTTAGGGTCTCCCATTAATTAAATTGATTGTTGTCACATTTTATTTTGGGGGCAACATTTTTTTTTGGGTTGTTATTTGGAACTACCACAATCCCTGAAAAAGAGCCAAATTAGACCAGGCCGAATATGGGAAAGGTGACAAAAAAGCCCATAACTTGAGAGTGACCTCTCTGTGGTGTCTAGACAGTTGTGTTAAGTTAATTTATTTAGTTCAGTCCTTTTGTCTTTTGCCTTGTCTTGTGATTTCCTGTTTTATTTTGTAGTAACCTTTCCCTCTCGTTTCAGAGCATTCCTGCCCTGGTGTGTTTTTCCCACCAGTGTGATTGTCAGCCCCTCCCTTAATTGTTGCCACCTGTGTCCCCTTACCTAGTGTGTATATATAGTCTGCGTCTCCCTTTGTCTTGTGTCAGTTCGTCTTGTCTCGTCAAGCCTGCCAGTCATCCCTTGATCGTGTGAAGTATATTTTTGATAGTCATGTAGATGTTTTTTGGTTTAGAGTTTTTTGATCCTCCAAGTGAGCGTTTTGTATTTGACCTTAATTAAAAGACCTTGTTAATTCTAATCTGTTTCTGGTGTTGTGCATTTGGGTCCTGAGCCTCGTGACATTCTTAACAGTACGAACTGACCAAAGAATGGACCCAGCCGACCCAGACAGGTTCAGAGCAGCTCTGCGCTCACAAGGCACGCTTTTGTCTCGGCATGACGATCAGCTGAAATCAATTGACCAGGGAGTGAGAGAATTGAGTGGTCGTCAAGAAAGCTTCCAAACATCTGTGAACAGCCAAGTAAACCACCTGGCAGATCAGCTTGTTCGTGTCCTTGCCCACCTGGAAGCTGGATCTCAAACTGTTTCCGCGGCTGCACCCCTGCCTGAGGCTGTGATCCAAGGACCTACTTCTTCTTCATGCTCTCGTCTCGCATCTCCAGAGAAATTCTCCGGTGACTCAGGTGACTGTCGTCCTTTTTTAGTCCAATGCGACCTGCATTATCAACATCAGCCTTCTGCTTTTCCAACAGACCAGTCTAGAATAGCTTTCATGATAACACACTTGACTGGTAGAGCAGCAGCGTGGGCTACAGCAGAATGGGCTAGAGACTCTCCCCTTTGCAGATCACTCGGACTGTTTACTGATTCCCTTAAAAAGATTTTTGATCGTACAGCGCCAGGGAGAGAAGCGGCTAAAGCTCTAGTTCAACTCAAGCAAAGAAATCAAAGAGTGTCTGATTATGCCATAGAGTTTAGGACAATAGCAGCAGACAGTGGCTGGAATGATCTGGCCTTGCTGGACGCCTTTGTAAATGGACTTTCAGGCCTTGTCAAAGATCACTTAGTCCCATTAGATCTTCCAGAAGATTTAGACTCTGTGATTGCTCTGGCTATACGAATAGATAATAGGCTCTGGGATAGACAAAAAGAAAGAGAACATCCTGCAGTTCGTTCACCAAGCTCCAGGGGGCCTCCTCGTGGCATCCGGATGAGGGAGGATTCGTTTCCAGGGGTCTGGATCAAGCCTCCTTTGACAACGCCATCCACCACATCAGAGGAACCCATGCAACTTGGCCGAGCAAGACTTTCACTGGAGGAGCGGGAACGGCGCCTCCGCCAGGGCCTGTGTTTCTACTGCGGGCATCGTGGACACCTGATGGCCGCTTGCTCACTAAAAGACGGGGCTCCCCAGGCAAGAGGAGGGCGCTGGTGTGCCGACTAACTTCTGACTACTCTCCTCGTACGCTGACTCCTATCCAAGTAAAATTAGGTAAGAAAACCTTAACACAGAATGTTCTCAGAGACAGAGAAAGAAGTCATGGTTCCCTCGGCACACGCACTGGTCAGGCGCTGTCATGGCATTTGGGCTTCAGCACGTCGGGTCCTCCTTAGGACTTCGGCCCGCATGAAAAAAGCGGCTGATCGGCATCGCCGTCCTGCACCTGTGTACAGACCGGGTCAGAAAGTGTGGCTATCCACCAGAGACTTGCCCCTGAACGTAGTCTCTAGGAAGCTGGCACCAAGATTTGTAGGCCCATTCACTGTGGAAAAGTGTATTAACCCTGTGTCTGTTCGTTTGCGCCTGCCTAGATCACTCAGAGTCCATCCAACATTCCACGTAAGCAAACTCAAGCCGGTCAAGGAAAGCAAAATGGTTCCCGCTTCCAAGCCCCCCCCTCCTCCCAGGCTCATTGATGGAGGTCTGGTCTACACTGTCAAGCGTCTGCTGAAGGTCAGAAAACGAGGAAGGGGTCAGCAGTTTTTAGTGGACTGGGAGGGTTATGGACCGGAAGAGCGGGAATGGATCCCGTCTAGCTTCATCGTGGACCAGAACCTGATAAAGGATTTTTACAAAAGCCATCCTGAACTCGCTGGGCCGTCCGGAGCCGTCCGTAAAGGAGGGGGTACTGTGGTGTCTAGACAGTTGTGTTAAGTTAATTTATTTAGTTCAGTCCTTTTGTCTTTTGCCTTGTCTTGTGATTTCCTGTTTTATTTTGTAGTAACCTTTCCCTCTCGTTTCAGAGCATTCCTGCCCTGGTGTGTTTTTCCCACCAGTGTGATTGTCAGCCCCTCCCTTAATTGTTGCCACCTGTGTCCCCTTACCTAGTGTGTATATATAGTCTGCGTCTCCCTTTGTCTTGTGTCAGTTCGTCTTGTCTCGTCAAGCCTGCCAGTCATCCCTTGATCGTGTGAAGTATATTTTTGATAGTCATGTAGATGTTTTTGGTTTAGAGTTTTTTGATCCTCCAAGTGAGCGTTTTGTATTTGACCTTAATTAAAAGACCTTGTTAATTCTAATCTGTTTCTGGTGTTGTGCATTTGGGTCCTGAGCCTCGTGACATTCTTAACAGTACGAACTGACCAAAGAATGGACCCAGCCGACCCAGACAGGTTCAGAGCAGCTCTGCGCTCACAAGGCACGCTTTTGTCTCGGCATGACGATCAGCTGAAATCAATTGACCAGGGAGTGAGAGAATTGAGTGGTCGTCAAGAAAGCTTCCAAACATCTGTGAACAGCCAAGTAAACCACCTGGCAGATCAGCTTGTTCGTGTCCTTGCCCACCTGGAAGCTGGATCTCAAACTGTTTCCGCGGCTGCACCCCTGCCTGAGGCTGTGATCCAAGGACCTACTTCTTCTTCATGCTCTCGTCTCGCATCTCCAGAGAAATTCTCCGGTGACTCAGGTGACTGTCGTCCTTTTTTAGTCCAATGCGACCTGCATTATCAACATCAGCCTTCTGCTTTTCCAACAGACCAGTCTAGAATAGCTTTCATGATAACACACTTGACTGGTAGAGCAGCAGCGTGGGCTACAGCAGAATGGGCTAGAGACTCTCCCCTTTGCAGATCACTCGGACTGTTTACTGATTCCCTTAAAAAGATTTTTGATCGTACAGCGCCAGGGAGAGAAGCGGCTAAAGCTCTAGTTCAACTCAAGCAAAGAAATCAAAGAGTGTCTGATTATGCCATAGAGTTTAGGACAATAGCAGCAGACAGTGGCTGGAATGATCTGGCCTTGCTGGACGCCTTTGTAAATGGACTTTCAGGCCTTGTCAAAGATCACTTAGTCCCATTAGATCTTCCAGAAGATTTAGACTCTGTGATTGCTCTGGCTATACGAATAGATAATAGGCTCTGGGATAGACAAAAAGAAAGAGAACATCCTGCAGTTCGTTCACCAAGCTCCAGGGGGCCTCCTCGTGGCATCCGGATGAGGGAGGATTCGTTTCCAGGGGTCTGGATCAAGCCTCCTTTGACAACGCCATCCACCACATCAGAGGAACCCATGCAACTTGGCCGAGCAAGACTTTCACTGGAGGAGCGGGAACGGCGCCTCCGCCAGGGCCTGTGTTTCTACTGCGGGCATCGTGGACACCTGATGGCCGCTTGCTCACTAAAAGACGGGGCTCCCCAGGCAAGAGGAGGGCGCTGGTGTGCCGACTAACTTCTGACTACTCTCCTCGTACGCTGACTCCTATCCAAGTAAAATTAGGTAAGAAAACCTTAACACAGAATGTTCTCAGAGACAGAGAAAGAAGTCATGGTTCCCTCGGCACACGCACTGGTCAGGCGCTGTCATGGCATTTGGGCTTCAGCACGTCGGGTCCTCCTTAGGACTTCGGCCCGCATGAAAAAAAGCGGCTGATCGGCATCGCCGTCCTGCACCTGTGTACAGACCGGGTCAGAAAGTGTGGCTATCCACCAGAGACTTGCCCCTGAACGTAGTCTCTAGGAAGCTGGCACCAAGATTTGTAGGCCCATTCACTGTGGAAAAGTGTATTAACCCTGTGTCTGTTCGTTTGCGCCTGCCTAGATCACTCAGAGTCCATCCAACATTCCACGTAAGCAAACTCAAGCCGGTCAAGGAAAGCAAAATGGTTCCCGCTTCCAAGCCCCCCCCCTCCTCCCAGGCTCATTGATGGAGGTCTGGTCTACACTGTCAAGCGTCTGCTGAAGGTCAGAAAACGAGGAAGGGGTCAGCAGTTTTTAGTGGACTGGGAGGGTTATGGACCGGAAGAGCGGGAATGGATCCCGTCTAGCTTCATCGTGGACCAGAACCTGATAAAGGATTTTTACAAAAGCCATCCTGAACTCGCTGGGCCGTCCGGAGCCGTCCGTAAAGGAGGGGGTACTGTGGTGTCTAGACAGTTGTGTTAAGTTAATTTATTTAGTTCAGTCCTTTTGTCTTTTGCCTGGTCTTGTGATTTCCTGTTTTATTTTGTAGTAACCTTTCCCTCTCGTTTCAGAGCATTCCTGCCCTGGTGTGTTTTTCCCACCAGTGTGATTGTCAGCCCCTCCCTTAATTGTTGCCACCTGTGTCCCCTTACCTAGTGTGTATATATAGTCTGCGTCTCCCTTTGTCTTGTGTCAGTTCGTCTTGTCTCGTCAAGCCTGCCAGTCATCCCTTGATCGTGTGAAGTATATTTTTGATAGTCATGTAGATGTTTTTGGTTTAGAGTTTTTTGATCCTCCAAGTGAGCGTTTTGTATTTGACCTTAATTAAAAGACCTTGTTAATTCTAATCTGTTTCTGGTGTTGTGCATTTGGGTCCTGAGCCTCGTGACATTCTTAACACTCTCTTATCCTCTTTAGATTTGCTGAGGTATGAACCAGGTGACTGTCCCACTTCACTAAATAGTCAGACAATTATTTAACTTAAAAAAATACTGAATTATAGTCCTGTAAACTTAGCTTTAGTTTAGACGGAAATTGTACTTGTTGGTGATAGGAACATAGGACTCACTTTTCTCTCATTTATCAGAAAAACCGAAATCCCTAAAAAATATACCATTACTGAATTGTCTAGGGTGCTATTGAACACTAACCAGTAGTTGTATGGTAATATCTGGTACAGTTCTATTGCAAATGAGATTTCTTTAGACATAGGCCTACTGTACCTCTTCTCTGATACAGTCAAATTCTGAATGGGGGAGAAGTGGCACAATAGCTTATAAGTTAAGAATGCTCACTCTGATGGTCATTATATTTGGAGAGGGAAATACCAGGTGGCTGAACTACATCACCAAATAGTCAGAATAAGAGTAACCCAATACAATAAAGTGTATTAGTTCTAAATTGCAAGCCTCTAAAACATAGGTGTAAATAGTACAGGTTTTATTGAGACTGGATCCTTAATTCAAAGTACAGTATACAAATCATCAAATAATTCTGTGAGAGGTCAAGTATATACTAGAATATAATGTTAAATGTCAGGTTCCTCAGAAACGTTAGGGGACAGATTTTGACATTCTGTCAATGTGTCCTCTGGTTGAATGGCCCCATCTCCGACAATCCACCCCTTGCCAACAGGACTCCATAACAAGGGTTTGGGTTCGGCTGTGACACCATATCGCTGTCTGAAACATTGCTCTTTACATGTAAATACAATCATGTCTGTCAATCATGTTTACATGTATTGTTTTGTATTTACTTTAAAATATTCTTCTGAATGTAAACTATTTTTATATTATTGTTAGAGTTCTTAAACTATTTCAAATGAGATTTGTGCTTGTAATATTTAATTCATTTGTAATCAAAGCCTTTCAGCAGCTTTGTCTCCATTTCTGCTGTTCTCGCCGTCTTTCCAAAGCAGGTTTGTCTTCATGGATCTTTTTAAAGCAGAATTCAAAGATACATTTACATTTTAATTGAGCTAATTGACTTAAAACATTTTATTTCAGTGTGTTTTATTAAGTGGTTTAGCAAAACTGATTGAGTGGGTTTCCTGCTAAGACCTTAGAAAGGCTTGTAGGTTTTGAAACTACCGTCCAGAAAAAGTGGTGTTGTCTGACCCCACCTCAGTGTTTAAGCAGCAGAAGAAGGAAGTTGTGAAAGACATAGCAATGTCAAGTGATAGCAACATCAGGAAGTAGTACCATGAGAAGCTTGGGTAATACCAAGGGCTCAGAGAAGAGCTAGAGAAGATGTGGAAGGTGAAGGCAACAGTGGTTCCAGTGGTGATACACTCTAAAAGGTCATTCAGGGGACCTTTTACAACCACTTAATTAAAGGCATAGTTGCAAGATACACATTTGAATTAATTGATTTAGATAACAAATTTAAGTTGCAAACATTAATTTATAAGTTGTGTTGATGTAATAATGTTGGTAATTACATCAACTTAATATTGTGTGTAATTTAAACTCGGATTTCGGCGTTAATTGACTTAAAAACCAAATTCAAGTTGTAGTAAGTAATGCAATTGGCTTGATAACTTAATTGTTCTACACCTTGAGTTAAGGATTTCAAGTCCACTCCCACTTAACATGCCTGGACAAGTTCCGACAGTTAAGACAGATAGAAATACTATCCAAAGGACATTTTAAGGTGAGTGTCATCTTTTGTCATTCAAATACAGTAGATAGCCAGTTGCACTGTATAGGAAAATTGCTGTTTGACCAAAATTAGAAGCCTTTGAACTGTGAACAGTTCTGTGAGAGGATACAAAGTAGTAGAGCAGGGATGTGAAGTCCACACACCACCTACAAAAATAGCACTTTACCCCTGCTTACACCTATATGCCGTGAGCTGATTATCGAGCCAATTGTGACAGTCGCGGGTACACTGTGTGTATATGCGTGGGGATTGTTGCAGTAGAACATTCCACTGTAGCGCCCGGTACATTAATGGGAAACCTTAAATGTTTGAGCACCCTCTATGAAACGTCAAGCTACCGCACAGCAGCCCCAAAATAAATCTCTGGCGCCGCCACTGAGCCTGACTATTTGTGTTGGGGGGGCCCGACTTTTTTTTTCTCCAAAGGGGGGGCCTGACAGAAAAAGTTTGAGAACCACTGGTCTAGAGGCAAGAGCTTCGGAGCTAAGAGGTGGCGTCGCTTACGTCTCTCTTACGTCGAGGCGTGCAGGAAACTAAACCCACCTCCCCTGAACATGGGTCGACTGTCATGCCTGC